AAAAGCAGCAGCAGTGGAAACTGTTTCAAGGCACTTCTGCAACGTGCATCAGTGTTGTTTAAGCAGAACCCACCCTACAGATGAGCACAGTAAATCTATAAATGAACATCCTTGTCCATTCCGCTTTCGGGCTGCGTTTGGGCAGGGATATCAGATGTAACAGTACCTTCTGCTTTGTAGACAAAATTCATAAGTGGGAAGAAACCACTAAGCCAGGAGTTAACGATCAGCTGCTATTTTCCTTTGTGCTTAACAGTGACCAAGCCTCCACATAGTGCTTGGTGACACTGTTCGGACCTTGCAGAGTCCAGGTGGCTCTCAGCTCATTAGGCCCCTCTTCCCAGCAGGTCTGTGCTCACTGAGGACTGGAGGCAGCCCTGGCAAACTCTCCTGTATGGAGGTGGCTGTAAGACAGGTAGTGTGGGGGCTGATTCCTCCTGTTCTTCCCCTCTCACACCAGCTTCAGCTCGATGTGCTCAGGCAGTTTCTTGGGATGAGGAAGGAATGATGCTGGCCGGCCCTGGAAGCTGGAAGCTGATGGGAGCACAGCCCACCTCTGCAGAGAGGTCTGTACAGGTACCATCATCTCACGGTTATGGAAAAGGGAGGGCTGAAGGAGAATATGAGATATTTATGAAGGCTAGGATTCACCAAGGAATTTTAATATGACACAGTGCATCTGTAGAAGGAACAATTTGACCCACTGCTATTACAGGCACATTACAGATCACCATCTGACATCCCTCCACAAAGGTAAGAGGGACCTGTGAAGCTGTTGCAGCAGTGCTGATCTATACTGCTGAGGGACAGGCACTGTCGCTTCTTCTCCTGAGTAGCTCAGCTTCTGAGTGCTCAAAAACAATGCAAGACTAAAATTGCACACTTTTTCCAAACTGTGTTGGTATTTATGGTATAAATCAGTGATACGATGATATCTAACTACAAAATTCTTGTTTAGTTCTATCAGTGTTATAATTGTTCTGCAAAAGGACAAAGTTCATCATTTTTGCTTCAAAAATACAAAAGCAGACATTAATACACAGCAAAGAAGGGATCCACTCTGAAGTCTGTTTCCCTAATATGTGCTAAAAATATCTGGGAAGTGTTTGATGCCGTTCCATAGGGTAAAGTCATTATATGCTATTGACTTTGGTGTAATAAATTTAGTGTTATCTACTGTCACATTTTATGACAGTTTCATATCCTGATTGATATAAACCGCTATAAAATCTCTTATCTGAACTCAGATCAAAAGCGATTATGCACTAGCTCAGGCAGATGCTTTTTATTCAGTTCTTTCAGAAATGCCTGGAATTTCCACTGCAAACCTTCTCAGGGACTTTCCAGATAGCTGGTCATCCACAAAGCAGCTTGCAGATTTTCAGGGGTCGTTGCAGACCTTATGAGAGCTGGAAGAAAACTCAATTTCCATAGCTCAGGGTTCATTTTTCCTGGGGAACCCTGCATTCCCGAGGTTTAATTGTCTGAAATTGTTATGTGTGAACTCCAAACTTCTAAATATATTTCCCATGAGAGATTTATTTCTTTGCTACCACAAATACTTTAAAGCAGTCATCATGGTAAGAAAAACACTGAGAGAAGAGGAGAGTTAGAACAGATGAAAGAAGGGTGAGGTAACAATATCATAATTTCCCAAAAGCTGAGATATTCAGAGCAGCCTAAACAAATTAGTCATTCATTTAGAAAGGAGAGTTCATGGGAGCTAGGTGCCAGTTTTTTGCGCTCACATGAAAATTCCAACCCTTGGGGACCACTGATTGCCCCCAACTTCAAGGCTTCACAGGCTGTGATACTCCTACTTACACCGCGAAAACCTCTGCATTAGCAGACCAGATATGGTGGCAGCATTTCTGACAGTAGTAGCAACCATAGGAGGAATTTTCCATGAGCACAAGTAACAGGTGCCCCTTATCACAAGCTGGGCACATGGAGATATTCAGATCAAAAAGGATCTTGGTCCCCCTCTCCTACCTGCCAGTGTTAACTTGAGTACTGGGATTCTGAAGTGACTTTTTGTTTGATTTCAGTCATTTTAAACAGCCTATTAACCAGACTTCAGTGGTTACTGGAAGTGTTAGTGTAATTTAGCAGCAAGAAACTGCTAAATGTAAAATAACAGTGCAAGTCTGTGTCTGATTTCCTGCACAGTGTGTGCTACTAAGCTGATGCTCCCCTTGAGGACGGTGGGCCTGATCCTTGTCTCGCTTACATTCCTGTGGCGATTCTGTGCAAGCAGGTCGGTGGGAGCATTTCTCTGTGGTCCAGCAGGAGCATTAGGGCCTTCCTCTTCCTTCCTCCTCCACTAGTCAGTATCTGCAGGTCCCTTAGCTGGACAAGGGAAACACACAGTTCTGAAAGACACTTTCAGACGTGACCATCTTGCCAGACAACAGCTTTCCACCAGAGCAGGGTGAGATAATTGACTTTTCTACCCCATATGTCCATACATATCCCTATGTCACTGTCAATGTCAACAAAGCTGGAAGGTAATGTCCGGCTATGGAAGGCTTATCTGAACTTGCTGTGTACTATGTATCAGCTATCTCAGCTAATCCTTAAACCTGATGCCCTTCCCAAAAGCACTGTACTTCATTACACTAAAACCGGAGGAGCAGTCGTCCCTGTGCCTACCCCTACCAGCACGGAGGGAAGAGTCTCATGAAGAGCAGGAGTGTGGCACAGAACTCGGTCTTGGTCACGATCCAGCCACTCCCTGCATGCAGACAAGGGCACTGAAATGGGCAGAAGGGCAGTCCTACCTTAAACATGCTTTTTTGCAGGCAGTAGAGACCTGGAGGTCAGGACAGATACATGATGTCATCCTCTTTGTCAGCCATCAGTCTCCAGCTTTCTGTACTCCCAGTCAACTCTATGATGAGGTGGATCAAACTTTGCTGGAGAAAGCACAGGAGCCCCCTTGTTATTCCATATGAAAAATCCTGGGAGCCTGCCACAAGGGATATTAATCTATAAAGCTCATAAGACTTAACACGAGGCTGGAATGTACCTTCACTGCAGCTCCACTATATATGCTGTAAGAGAAATAATTTTGCCCAGAAGAGACAGCACTTGCAAGTTTTGAGACACCGGTGCCATGGAACATCTTCTGCTCTTCATATAAATAAGTTCCCTGGACACTTGAGTCTTTAACTCTGTTCAGGTCAGCAAGCAAGCAAATATCCATTGTAGCTGCATAAGCAGAATGGGGAAAGACGTGCCAGTCTTGAGTTTTAGGGCTGTTTTCATGTAAATGCAGCAGTGCAAAGCATACCAGGATAGAACAATTCACGAGATTTGCGAGAGGAGAAAGATAAGATGGGTCCATAAGTAAACAATTTAACTATGTAGCTTTCATAGGAAATAGTGAAATCCAGGTCTTGCCAAAGTCAAAGAGCAATTGACTATTACATTAAAAAATATCCCTCAAACACACATTCTTCTCTCTTGCAATGTATTACCTCAGGTTGACTGAGGAATTAAAAGAAACATATGACTTGTAATGTACCTGCAAGATATGGTGGTGAACTGGGAGTTTTCAAACCCTTTAAAACAAATGTGACAACCCTTGACAGCATTCCTGGTGCAAAGTATCCACCCTATCAAAGGCACCGTCCTCAGGGGAGGCAGGCATTTGTCTGAGGAAAAGCTTGGACCTATGTTCCCTGGCATACCATAAATATCTTTGCAAAGGAAAAAAAAAAAAAAAAGACGTTTTCAGACTTGAAATTGCTATCAGAGATAGCCTTTCTGCTGTCTGTGGCCCTCTGTCAAGTGAAGAGCAAGCGTTTCTGGAGGGTCCAAAGGAAACCAGCCAAGGAATCCTGCTTAATCTCCTGCCTAATGTATTCATCATAGAAAACCTCTCCAGGAAGTGCCAGGACTCCCAAAGCTTCCTATTATGCAATGTGCATATTGCTCCTAGTAGCCTTGCTAAGAGACTTCTTGGCTTATTCTCAAGGAACCCTAAATACAAGATCTTACAAGACTCCAGATTCCATATGATTCAGAAATGGCCCAGGACACATGGATCCTGGCTCATGGTAATATTAAAGTGACTAACTGGACTGAATGATTCTCTTCCCTCCCCCAGAATACTACACTTGTTCTGGGTCTTTGTCACAGTAGGAAAAGGTAAAGGTGCCTGCGAGACAGAGCAGCTAACACTTACAGCTCACTATCCCCAGTGTCATAAATGTCCATTAAATAGTCCCAGAAGGTACTTTGCTAGCCTGACCCAGCTAAATTGGCAAATTCTTCCTTGTAGACACCTCACAGTCCTGCCTAGAGACATGCTTGACGGGAGGCATTTTGATTTCCAGCTCACAAGACTATGGTGCGCAACACAGTGTGCAAGACTGGAGGTCCACCCAGTTAGAGGGTCTGTGTGGAACTGCAGGCAAGAGTCTCTCCATTGCCTTGGCTCAGCAGAGTCACAGGCACTGTGATAAGGAGACTGCAGGAGATGCTGCTCAGGCAGTGGCCTCTTTTTTATCTCTGAGGAAAAACTCAGCAGAAAGTGAGTAGGGGAAGAGGGAGGAAAAGAAGGCACTGACCCACCTCTGTGTGCCTGTGGGGCTCCTGAGGCTGGAGGTAACGGGCAGCAGAGTCAAGGGACGTCTGATGTTCCTCAGAAAAGTGTCGTACAATATACAAGGGGCAGCAGCCAGCCCTGGGAGCCACGTTTCCTCTTGGGAGCTGGCACTCAGGAGCGACTGCACTCTGTAAGGCGCAGCCTACCCTGGTACGTACTACATGAAGGGCTGAGCAGTATGAAATTAGGTGTGATAAACAGACACAGAATTTGCTTCACTTATAGGCAGGATACACAATACGTACACAGCCAGAGGATGAACAGGAGCAGCTCAACAATAGCTGTCAAGACGCACAACATCACTGGAGGCTTTCACACTTCTCATTTCAGACATTTTTCAGGAAAATGTATTTTACATTAAAGGGTAAAACGCATCCCAGTGCTCTCATGCAGATGTTACTGGGAAGGAGACAAAGAAGTACAGTCAATAACACAGCTGTGTTTTGATCAGGAAGGACTGGCTAGTTCCTGTGCCTCCTTAAGGTTACAGTGTTTTTGACATGAAAAGGAAGACAGAGGAGGAAGGTACCCCTAATCCTGGACTAGAGAGAAAAGGTGGTAAAAAGGGAAAACTCTGCATGTACATCTGCCTCTCCAAACTGAGCCCCGATCAGAAATGGTAGTTGGGGAGTGTGTTACCTTTGGTTACCCCCGTTCCTCATGGGATTACTCCAGGACCTGCAGAGGCCTTCAGCAGCCTATGTCCACACGCTACACCACCCCACAGGAACAGGCTCTCATCTTTCTTGCCCCAGAGCTCAAATCTTTCAACTTTTTCCCTCACCTCTTCCATCCCTAGTCTCCCAGCTCCCATATCCTCTTGATCCAGAGCCCATCTTCTCAGCTTCTGCCCCCAAACTCCCACTTCTCTTCTCTCCCTTAGCATCCCTATCCCAGATTCCTTCCCACCCTATGGCCCCTGGGGACACCAGTCCCCACTGCTGAGTCCTATTGATGAGTCTGAGTTCATCTCTGCTCTTCATCTTCTAGTATAGATTTTAAAACCGTGGACACGTGTCGAAGATCTTGCAGGACAGGACGTAAAAGGGGAACAGAAGTGTATGGTGGTCTTACTTCTACTGAATCAAAGCCAAAAGCCAGACTGTATCCTTGAGAACTTATTTGCTATCTGAAGGGACTTCTTGGTTTTCTCCATGAAGTGAATTTGGTTGTCCCCATCCCCTGCTCAGAACACACTAGCATGTTCACCACCCACGCTAACTGAGTGAGGAAAGGATTGCCTGTGTGTGGAAATTGGGCTACCACCTCCCAAGGAGACTGCCAGGTTTTGTGTGCACTTTCCTTTGGCCAGGAAGCAGACACTCTTAAGCTCTGCTTACATGTGCCTGCTGTAGCACACACAAGTTTACAATTTCCAAGGACATTTGACTTCAGGATTTTGAAAAGATACCAGTAGGATGTAAGAGACAACACCATTCGTGGTGGAGCTGGCATATATTTGCATGCTGTAACAGCATGCTGCAATGTATGCCCACAAAATGGCACACATTTAGTGCATGCTGTTATACTCTTCTGTTATCAAAATCATAGACGTCATGCAATTGCCGCTTCTCTAAACTGGAAAAGAGTAGACAATATAACACTCTTGGAGGGCTCATTGTAAAGGTCAGTCCAACAGTTGGACTGCATAAAGCACCATTCCATGTAAATATTTCATAGGGTGCTGAGATTATCATATATTAAAATGTGGACAGTCTGCTCGTCCACAAATTAAACTCCAGGAAGCTGGATGGACTTTGTGTGAGCTTAAAAGACGAAGAATTTCTGGGGAAGGAAGGAAGCATTTTTGTTACTGTGCGTGATGCTGAGTGTGCACCTATACTGAGCTACAATCAGAATACGCAACAGTTTTGGCTTTTGGCAGGACTCAGGCTGTGATATTCATGAGGATCATTCAAAGGAAACATTTGGCTCATCATATTAAAATGAGAAAAAGCCACGTAGCAAACACCTTTTGAGGCAGAGGCACTTCTGGATCGGCAGCAAGAGTGTCTGAAAGAAAAAACAAATAGCACAACATCAATGTGGAACTTCTAACTGGAAAAACTGAAGCTGAGCGGGACTCTCATATACTTGAGAAGTTGTGTCTCTGAGTCAAGAGATCTGTACATTGGTATAAACCCATAAGAATATGTAAAGTATACTCCTTAGCAAAATTACGTTCTCTTCCTCTCCTTGATTCTGCTTAGAAAAGGGGTCTTCACCTCACATCCTCCCCCCGCCAGGGGCAAATACATTTGATTTCCATTTTGTTTAAAATCACCATGATAATCCGTAGTGGTGGTCCAGACTTTATATGAAAGGAATTAGGACATCTTCTGAAGAGCTGTGCTGAACATTGTTCCATACAATGATCAGAAAGTTCATTCTCCTTTCCCCCATATGAACTCCATCTCCTGAGCCCTAAAATTAGGCTTCTCTTTGGAAAATAATGTAATGTGGGCAACTTAATCTGCAAGTGAAAATACGTGCACCAGCTCTTCATTCTCTATCAGCAAGGATGGAACCGGAGCTACTTGTGTGGCACAGCAAGACAAAGCATATCTCCCTGCTCCACAGAAAATGCCAAGGACTGAACCCAGGTGGCATGTGATCCACCAGCTTCCCCACGCCTGACACTACGCAGCCCCCTATGCCTGCTCTGTTACAGCAACAACTTACCCTTTGTCTCACCCTTTATTTCACATAGTTTCAGTGGATTTGCAAGGTCGGATCCCCTGTTCTTAAATAATAAGTGAATGCTGTTAAAGAACTGGATCATGGAATCTGCAATTATTTAAGTTGCTATTGCCGTATCTCTCAAATATCTCTCAGCTCATTTGTTTTAATTAGGGAATTTAAATAGGGTGGAGGGAACACTAGTCCTGTAACACTGCTTCACTTCCACACAGACACACATGCAGAAGTGTATAGATGCAAATGTGCATTGCTGCCTATGTGCATACACTCTTGTGCTCTTTCAGACCAAAAATTGAATTTTTGTTCTGTCTTTAGTTCTCTATTACTATTGCTTTCCCCTGCTAAAGGGGTCCAAAAGTTAATAGAGCCTCTCAAAATTGATGATATTGTTCCCTCCTCTTAAATACTAGGAAAATCTGATACACACAATAATGGTTTATTGAAAAATCTTTCCACTCACCTACAGCTATGAGTAATGCTTAAACATATTGTAAGATCATCAATCTGAAACATCGGAGACCTAATTCTTCTTTCTGTGATATCTTTGAACTCTGCTGAAGATGATGGGTTTTAACAAAGACATTTATACAAAGTCAACACTGACAGGAGGAGAATCTAACAACACTTCTGGGTGTAAAACATCTGGGTACCTCCCAGGCAAAAGACACTCGGGTACTCCCACAGATGATGCAGGTTCATGGCTCTGGGGACAGAGGTAGTCAGGAATATGGATCTCTCACATTCTGCAAGCTGGGGAAAGGTAGGGGTCCACTTCTTCCTCAGTAGCTGCCCTGCATCTTTTATATGCTTTTATATGCTTGGTATTTCACCTCTTCAATAGAGTTGTTTCCCTTTTATAGCTGAAAGATAGCAATCTCAAACTAAAAAGAAGTTTGCCTGGTGTAGTGGTAAGGGTAGAGAATACATCTCACTTACAGCACCATTTCTTGCTGCTCAGCAGGAGGATGCGTCCCAGACCCCTCATGAGCTCCTGTGCCTTTCTGCCTTGGACAAGTTTTCATTAAAAAAGCTAAATAAAAAAGCTGTGCAAAGGAAAAAGAAAAGCCTGGATATTAGAAACTGGACTGTGTCACTGGTGTAGCACCCAAAAGAAATTACAAGAAAAAAGACAGGCCAAGGTGGAATTTAAGCCACTGAAACTGGTATTCCCATTACCTCTTCGGGATTGTTTTCAAGAAAATCTGGACTAGGTGGAACTATTTCTCTGTTGGCTAGATCCCAGGTTCCTGTGCTGAGCTTCAGGGACACCAGGATGAATGACCTGAGCACTGTACTGGCCTTCAAGGATCAGTCTGAGGCTGGTGTGTTTTGGCTGCGGGCCTCTACATGGTCTCAAAACCACTGTTGAGCCTCTGGAAAAAAGGTGCTCATAAAAGAGGTGCAGAATGTGGGGGCGAGATCCCCAAAGTCCTGCTGGCCTGGACTTGCTGCCTGACAGATTTTGAGTGCTGTTCAGGGCACTTGGTTTACACCTACTGGGTTTCACACTGAGGTTACTACAAAGACTTCCTGGGCAACTATGTTGTCTTTTCTGGAATTATTAAGGGGAAGCTGGACTCTGAGATGCTTCGAAAGAAGGGGCTGCTGGCTGGGTGCTCTCTTGAGGGTTTGGCACCTGCTTCAATTTCTTGGTTCATGACTCTCCAGACTCATTGAAAAGCCTGTCTTTTCTTTCAGGCATTTGGAAAAAGGCTGGGAGTAGTGGGTTACGGCCAGCTCCGCATACCTGTTCATTTCTCGTTTCTTGGCTTGTTCCAGACTGCTTCCTCTGGAAAAATCTGCTTTTTCTAATGGCCAGCATGTCTCTAGGCTGCCTGTTTTAAGTTTGCAGATACTGATTTTTCCTCCTTCTGAACCTACGCTCGTCTCCTTTGCAGATCCTCCTAAACAAACTTTTGCCACCACTGTCTGATGATAAGAGCATTGAATACTACTATGAAGAAATGGCGTTCCCTGAACTAACCATCTCTTTATTTAAGCAGTGGTGCCCAGAACTGTTTAACATTGGCAGTCACCGCTCCATGGTTCACATTCTAGTGCCTCTTCCAGCTTCATCTCCCTGCAACCCAGAAGCCTGCCTTCAGCTTCTGTGGCGGGGATTTCTATGTGGCGATTCAATTAAAACAATATTGGGTCAAGTTTTGGTGCAAGGTATAGTCTCAGGTTACATGCTTAAAGTAACGAGAATTTGTTCTGCTTTAGGATATCCACTTGAAAAACCTGAATACACTGTGTGGCACAAAACTGCTGTAAACATCACTTTTCAATTTCATTGAATTCTGTCAAGATAGACTAATGCTTTTCACCTGCAGCATGAGGCACATCTTTAGCTGTAGCACCTTCTTACAATGTCCTAAAATGACACTGTGCTTTTGTATTTTGAGCCTTACAGCTCCCTAAGACAGCTTCCTGATCTCACATGCTTACAGCTGGATCCTGGTGAGACTCCGCCATGCACTTTTGGCCACTCATTACAGTTAGGAGCAGGCAGAGAGGCTTAATGGTTATGACACTCCTCAGAGACTCAGGTTGCCACTTCCTTTTGTGCTACAGGTTTTCCAAGGGCCAAGCATTTTCAAGACCTCCTATCTCCTGCCCTGTGTTTTCAGACCTTGTTGCTCAATTCTGTCTCATGCCAATTCCACCTTTCTCTCAGAGATTTGATCACCGGCCTGCTCTGCACTCTGCCCAGACCCCAGGAATACCAGCACTGTGTTGTACACAAAGGCCATTGGGGTCCGTTGCTTGAACAAATCCAGGAGGCCCATCACCAGCAAGTGGACTTCAGTTCTGCCAGGTGCTTGGTCAGGAATGGTTGGCATTAGACTTTCCCTTTGGGATCATATTTTGAACAGTGGCTGCTTGTAAGCTCTCTCCAGCCTGATGGACTCTCGTTCGGTAAAAAATGTTCATATTTATGTTATTTTGCATGTTTTCAAGCATTTTCTCTGCAGGTATTCTGCTTTTGCTTTGAATTTCTAGCTCAAATCTCTCAAGTGGAGCGAACAAGATGCATGTCTATAGGATCCATCTGCAGGCTGTCTGGCAGAACTGCCCCTGCCCAGGCTACCCTGGTTTGCAAGCAGAACACCGGCATAAAATGACCTCCACCCTAAGGACCAAACTGGCAGGTTTCCTCACAGCAATCCTTTCCCTGTATTCCCATTAGTCTCTGGGGTGACTCTCCACTGGCCTCCCTGGTACAGCAGCCCTCAGCCATGCACCTCACTGTGGGCAGAAGGGGAGTGGGGCCCTCTCAATGGATAAAACAGCTGCTCCCTCACTCCTGCTGAGCATCAAGAAGAACTGCAGAGAAGGCCCTGGCCAGCAGTTTAATCTCTTCCAGGCTACTCAGGAGTGACATGACCCCGTACCCTGTGCTTAAGTGTAGGCAGCTCATAAATGGCAATAGTAATTTCCACGGCAGTAACCAGCCTCCTCTCCCTAGGCCTGAGCACCTCATCAGCTGAGAAATCTGCCGAAAGGATCCCTCCAAAAATGCTTGGCTCAACGTCTGACTGCTTGGGGGTTTGGTAGGAACTGCGTAATTGCTACCAAACTGCAAGTAAGCCAGTGGCTTGGATACTTGTGGCTACAGTAATAAATGGGCTGGCTGAGACGATCCCCATTAATTATGTAGAACTCTATAATTAGGAGATTATTGCTGTCCCAGGAGCCAGGAAAAGGAGCTGATTTCCTGCAGGGGTCAGCAAGGAATTCCCCCTTCCACCGCTCACTGTGCAGTACTGCACTGTTAAAGAGGGATGTCCTGGCAAATAGTCACCTATCCCCAGCTTTTGCGATTTGGTGGCCAGCAGGAAAACACAGCAAATTACTTGTGCTTGGCTCAAGCCCTCGAGGGAAACATCACAAAGTCGTGACCACTGTGGATGTGAGCCACTGGAACCCTTTGTCTTAAACCAGAAACTATGGCTGTGAGATTATAAAGTACTACATGGGCCATGACCACGGTAACTACCCCAGCACTTTGCTGTGGTTGTCCAAATAGGCTACCATGTGCTTGGCTTGCAATACATCAGTGCTCAAGCTCTCTTTGCAAAATCACTCTGATTTACCTAGACAGCATTTCAGCACCCTCTGCTTCCCTTCTCCTTCCCTGCAGCAAGCCAGCATCTGCAGAAAGTGCAGATGAGACAGTTAGATGCAGGAGATAGATAGCATCTGCCCCCACGACTGCACAGAGAAGTGGCCAGCTCAGGCAAAGGCACCTGAATCCAGAGCCCTTGTTCATGGCTCTCTGCTCTAAACTAGTCCTCATCAAAACCTCTTTT